GTGTGTGTTTTATTCCATGATTTAATCCTTAGAAACTTAGGACTTGAATTTTAATAATTAAGTGTGACACTTATTTTACTGAGGCAAGCAGATGTCTCTCCCTTTTAATTAGATGCAAGATAATTAAACTAAAACACTCCCTTTTTCTTTGTCCTTAAGTAAATTTTTCCCTCCAAAACAGATTTGATTTGTTAAAAAACTTTTCCTGTATAAGGTGTARCATTTTTATTGGCCAACTAAAACCTTGGCTCCACCCATAACAGAGGTTTTAAAAGCTTAGTGCAGCTCCCAATCTCTTAGAAGACAACGAAGAAGACCAAACAGAAGAAGACCGACAGAGTTTTTTGAGAGTTTTTCAACATCAGAAGTCAGAAACAGCTTTTCAGAAGTTTCAGCAGAGACCGGCCCTGTCAGCCCCTCCCATGGCTGACCAGTTTACAGGCTCTGCATCTCCCGCTGGATTGAACGAACAGCCAACTTTTAATATCAACTCAACATCTGAGTTTGATTTTATAGAAGTTAAATAAGCTAATTGTAACTCATGCGTCATTTTTAGTTCGTTTTCTCTACAAAGTTGAAATCAAATTAAGAAGTCTTGCAGCCGCCTAAGAGGACCGGACCACGTTGACCCCCTTCTCTGACTAAGGGACCAGTCGAGTTTTACAGGCAGACCGCCTGACATCCAGTTTGCATGAAGAGCCTCCCTGGGAGACGACCCCAGAGATGACCTTCAATCGCTGACTTCCCCTCCTGGTACCCACATGGTGGAGCAAAAGGGTAAAAGTGAACATTTGTCCTGGTGACACACAGGTGCTCAGACTAATTTGATTCTTATCTTTGTATGAGGTTTGGTAAACTAAACGATTTTTCTCACTAATTTAACTTGGACCCCCTTTGTTAAATCCTCAGCTAAAGCAAACTCACCTCATCTCACTCCAATTTTTACATGGTTCAATTATGTCATCATTCCTTACTCACCATAGTTGTAAATACATTTAATCTGTAAATAAATGGCCCATGGAGAACGTGCCAACATAAGCTAATCTCATATTTGTGTCTTGATAAAGTATTATTGGTTCTGATAAGACAAGAACTCATCAATGATTTTGGGTACATTTATTGTGAGAGTGATTACAATAAAGTTACAGGTTTTCGTCTCTTTCCTGGGTTAATCCTTGACCAAATTAAGAGCGTGGTGCCTCGAGGTCAGATAATTTGCGTATTTAAATAATTCACAAATTATCCATTTTAGAATATACCCAAAACCCCTACATTGGGTTCCTTTTGATGAGGAAATGACATTATAACAGCCCAAAAAAGTCTTGTTTTGCACAACACCCCCTCTTTAAAAACGCAAGTTGTGCAGCACATTTATTAATTTTAAAAAAAGTGGTTAAAATATACATGTAGTTTTTATGGGCTTTTCTGTAACATTATGACTTTATAAGGTTTGGAAATTTGTTAGTTTGGCAAAATTAAAAAAAACTATTTAGATGTTTTAAACATGAGAATAAGCCAAAACCATGGAAATGCTGACAACTGGCACGCATATCTTCAGTTACGTGAATATTAAGAATAAAAAGAGTACAGGTTTGGTCCTGTGAGCATGATAGATTAAAACAAGTGTCTTCTGTTGGTCGCATTGACAGAAAGGCATCAGGGAAGGAGGTGTTCTATATTGAATTGACTAAATGTGCAAAAAAAAAAGCTGATTTGATCTTCTCTAGAAATCGTATTCGGACTTATGAATATCAAATTTGAAAATCCCACTATGGAGTTCAGATTCCACTTCTGAAGACACACATCCTTCAGGACGGGTAGAAAATAAACCCAGCATAGCTTCAATAAAACTGAAGATTAATGCCTTCATTTACCATTCAGGAGTGTTTTCTAAAGGTCCACAGTCAGATGATCTGTGGGGCTGAAATTTACTGATTTAAATACAGACAGTGATAATTCATCATGTTTAACCTTAATATTTGTGCTAAGTAATTCGTTTACAAAAACCCATTTTACTTTTTACAAGCATCACAATGCAAGTGGAAAAACAACAGTTTTACGTTAAACACAGGTCCGTTTTTTTTGTTTGATAAAAATGAATTCCTCTGTCATACCTGAAAAGCGTACGGCGTGTCGTCCACGCAGTAAACTCTGAGGGTGAATCCCAAAGAGTTGCTGACATCAGAACTTCCGAACACAGCCAGTCTGAGCCGCTTGGCTGCTTCCTGGTTCAAAGGCTCCCCCACCAGCGCGTATCGACCCGGCTGACCCAGCAGCACATGGCATCTCTGGGCCTCCAGCAGGCAGTAGCAGGATGTGCTCTCCTCATCTACAGACATCACTTCCTTTGCAGACAAAAACAGATATGAAAGAAACACTATAGTTTGTATTTTAACAAGAACAAGACTAATATATTTTTTAGATCAGTTGTATAAATATTTTTCAATTAAAGGTCTAACATTCACTGAAAGAATCCATACTGCCGGCTGCCTTTAAGATTTTCTTATGCTGAGAAATCATGGTATTGTGGCTGTTTAAGTCTAAATTATTAGTGCTATATTAAAGGGATCCACGATTAGTTGTAATATTAAACTTTATTTTTAACTGTAAAATAAAGACTGTAAAAATACTGTAAGCTGTTTAGTTTTGTAAATATTTTTAAAATATGTTTTAACACAGATGGAGCCATTTTATTTACACACAAAGCATTCTGGGTAAATGATGACGTGGATAGGTCCTC